GACCCATTGAGCTATTCTGGGTGGTACCTCCCATCCCCTTGAGAGCTACTCCTACTAGGTTGGTCAATAGTTAGAGGTCAGACAAACTCAGTATCCTGGTCCTCCAGGTTGGGGGGTTTGAAAAGCAGTGGCGTCCATTTTTGTAAAACTTAATCATTGCTACCTCCCCGCTGTCTTGCGAACAGTCTTTTGAGCCAAAGTCTTTGCTTGAGGACCCTAATAGTCCTTCTGTTTTGCTCTGGGTGCGCTGGAAGTATCTCAACCCACACACAATCATAACTTTTTCTTCAGACATGAACTTCATACTGCATCGGCCGTCGCCCAGATTATCAAGGTTCGTCTTAGCGGCTCCATATAGCAGGGCGGACAAGCGAAAGCATGCTACTGCTGGCGCCTTTCTTCTTTCTTTTTCACCATTTTCCCTTACTCTTATCTCGTCCCCCCTTATTAACCTTCCTACTATAATTTTGTTAAAGTCTACACATGCGGAATTAACGCAAGCCTGCGAACGAAATAATGGCTCTTAGCCGAGCGCCGCAATGACAACAGTACACGTCTAGGTGGTCGCGTGCAAATGTGTATTCTGACCAGAACGGGTATAGAGCATCAATCAAGCAAATGAAGCCAACCACTCATGAGTGAGTACTCTACACGCGCACACGGTCAATATTGGTGTGAACGCTGATTGGAGATGGTAACTCATACGCTACAAATTCCAAGCCTAATTGACTGCAACCGAAGTGCCACTGGAGTAGAGCCATCTGCAGCCACCTTCCTACAACACCCATCAGATTCCTATCGGCAGCAGTCCCTTATAAGGCCACGCTGTCCCGTTTCCCTGGCGGCGTTCAACGTTTGCACTCCAAGCCTAAACGATCAACATGCTGCACTCGCAAGCACCTTGGGCACACTGGGTATTGGTATGTGTTGTGTGTCCGAAACTAGGATCAACGACCCTAATGAGGTTGTTGAATTAACTGCGCCCGGCTTCTCCTCTCGCTGTTGATTACAGGCATCCGGAGACACCGATGCAGCATTCACGGGTCAAGCTGGTGTAGTTATTATTCTAAGCTCCAAGGCTGAGCCATCATTGGTTAATTGGATTCTGGTGAACAGCCGTTTATATGCAGCCCGTTTGACCACCTAACCCAGGTTGATTCACGAAGTAGTGCAGAATGCTGTTTGTTTGTGATTTCCGCTTATGCTCCCACCGACTGCAGTTCAGATGTTGTCAAGGACACATTCTATCACGAACTGAACGCGCTACTACCCAGTGCTACTAGTTCGGACATAGTATTTGCAGGGGATATGAACGCACAAGTAGAGCCTCTGAGCTTTTCAGAAGCTCAGCTGGATGGTAATTATGGGGTTAACACCGAACGGACTGACAACGGCGAACGTCTGCTGCAACTGTGTGCGGAGCACCAGTTGTTTCTTAGTAGCACTGCTTTTAAACACAGTGGGCGCCGATGTGCCACTTGGCGTCCTCCTGTAACTGACCCGCGATGGACCCAAATTGATCACATTGCCATAAGTTACAGATGGTGTGGTTCCATCCTGGATTGCCGCTCGTACTGGAGTACCTGCGTTGACTCTGATCATGCCTTAGTACGCTGTCGTTACTCCACGAACTTTACCAGGAGGCGCACCAAGCGTCTCCTCCGATCAGCAACTGAGAAATTGTCTCAGTCCTCGGTCGGGCAAGCCTAACAAGAAGCATTGCATGCCGAACTTCCGCTGTCTTGTTCTAATTACACTGAGCTTCAGTGGAATAGGATCTCGGCCGCCATGCAGGACGTAGGAGCGTCTGCTTGTGGCACTATCAATCGTCACCGCACCAGTCACTGCATATCCGAGAGGTCGGTGAGCCTGTTGGAATCCAGAAAAAACTTCCCGGCTGGCTCTGAGCACAATGTGACCAGACGGGCTATTAGGCGCGAACTAAAGCTGAGCGTACATGCTGACAAGGAAGCCTGGTGGACAAGTACAGCTCAAGAAATAGAGGAGGCAGGAGCAGTAGGCAATTAGCGCAAGCTCTTCCAGCTGATCCGCAGAACTGGTCGCAGGAAACCATGCCTCAATGAGACAACCAGAGAGCGCGGGTGCGTTGATACACAATAAGGAGTGCCGTATGACTCGTTGGGCGGAACACTTTCAAGATCAGTTCAGCTGGCCTCCTGCTGCTGCATCTCTTTCTACTCAGGTGATGCAGGACGAGCCATAGATGGTTAGTTTAGAGCCTCCGTCTGAGGCCAAAGATTGAAACGCGATCACAGCCCTCAATCGTTTTTCTGCTACTGTCCCGGATTATTTCCTACTTGTGCTATTTAAGGGTGGAGGTGTGGTCCTCTGCAAAGCACTGACCTCCCTATTCGAACATATCTGGAATTGGTGTCCTGGCTAACGAGTGAATCGATTATAGTGGCAATCTACAAGCAGGGCAGTCACACAGACTGTTCTAACCACAATGGTATTAACTTAAAGCCAGTTGTGCCAAAATTACTGGCATCGATTCTCGTTTGTCTCCTCACTGTGGAATGGGAATTTCAGATTTAGGAAAAGCAGGTAGGTTTTCATCCAGGACGTGGCTGTATAGACCATATATTCACTTGGCGGCAGGTACTAGAGCAGCGCCACGCATACCGCAGACCAACAATAGCTGTGTTCCTCGATTTCAAGAATGCGTTCGATTCAGTCGATCGATCGATTCTGTTCGAAATACTTGCGCGGAAAGGTGTTCCCACGAAATGTGTGAACATCCTTCGTGCCGCGTCAGCTTCTACGGTGACTTGTCAGATAGCTTTCCGACCACAAGTGGCGTTCGTCAGGTTTGTCCGATTTCCCCATTTTCGTTCAATTTCGTCGTGCACTCTATCATGGAGTGTTCCCTTGCGGAATTTCACGATGTAGGCGTTGAAGTGCTGCCTGGTGAAAGGTTAATTGATCTTGATTATGCGGACAATATCGTCTTGCTTTTTCACGATGTGCGGGTGGCACAGGCAATCCTGAATAGGCTGTCTAGAGTGGTCCCATTATTTGGTATGCACCTTCAAAGTGCAAAGTTTTGCTGCAGGACCACCAGCCACTTTATGACCCCTTGGCCCTTGGTTACGAGGAACTCAAGGTAGTTGGTCCATTCACTTATCTTGGCAACTGCATCAGCAACCATGGGCACATAGAAACTGACGTAAGTTCACTCAATGCAAAAGCCAGAACTGCCCTCTTGAATCTGACATTTTTGGCGACAGCAAAGGGTTTCCCTTCGTCTTATAGGCCGTGTATACAAGGCCACAGTGATGGCCGTTCTGCTGTATGGTAGTGTGACTAGGCCCCTTCGGTCTGAAGATCTGAGGCGCCGTCAAGTCTTTGATCATCGTTGTCTGCGAAGCATTTCTGGTGTCGGATGGCACCAGCGTGTTCGCAACGATGATGTGCGTAGGCGAGTACTAGGGGGTGATGATCATGCTAGCTCCCTAGAACAACAAATAACACTTAATAAATTCCGTTGGCTCGTTCACGTGCTACGTATGCCTGGTCACCGCTGCCAGAGGTAGGATGGCGCAAGGCTTGAGGTGGACAGAAGTTGACTTGGCAGCGGGAAATGAAGTCACTGACGACCAACTAGGTGCCGTTGGTCCGTCTAGCCTTCCGGGCTGGAGTCGACGTGACTCACGTTGTGCTTGGCTCGAGATTTTACAGGACGTGGCTCGCAGTAGACACCAGTGGCGCGTTTGCTGCCGTCTCCTAATCGGATTGACTGTTTAAAGTGTGTTTGGTGCTGAGTTATCTGCGGGGTAATGGCTGATTATGACTCATGGCAGTGAAAGCCGCAAGGAAGTTGTCTCGCCGATGCCCTCTTACCTTTGCACGATTGCCAGTTGTGTGTGACGTTATGTTGTTAACCTAAGGTGTAGGCGCCTTAGGGCATTAAGGTTTTCACGTAACTCCTCCTTCTCTCCCTTTTACTATTCGTTATTCCTTAAGTCAACGTGGTTGTATGGCAACGAAGCGTCAGTTCAAATGGCTGATGTACTGCTGTTGTTGATTGATCGTGATTGTATTGTTTAGCAAACAAGCACCTGATTTAGTGAAACCCTGAAGTCAGTAGATGACCTGGCAAAAAAGTCGGGGCCTCGATTAGACGTCTATCATACGTAAATGAAGGGTTGCTTTTGTATTTTACCCACATGTGAATCGCGCATTTAATTATTGCGTCTTGTTAGCCACCATAACGACTGGAGAAGTCGACTTGCAGCTATTAACGCGCCTAATCGGAATCAGCTTGGGGTTGTCGACTTGGGCAAGCGGGATTATTAACTCGCGTGATCGAGCCCTGATTGAAGTGATAGAAAGCTCATCCGCCTTATCGTCTAGCCAGTCACACTTTGTTAGTGCTGTTCAAACGCAATGTCGGACTTTAACAGTTTACTTTATGCGTTAATTGCAACATTTATCACGGGCGAATACTTTCTTTCTATGATCCCACGTAAGGTTCCCTGAACTTGCTTTATTTGACTTTCGCTACTGTCAACTTCTTACAGCCTCATGTTTTCATTTACAGCCTCAGTTCTGACAAGATCACTTGTGCTTCAGTTGTATACTTCACATCTGCTGTCTCCGGGGATTGTCATCTTTCTGCGTTTGGCTAAGATAATGCATTCCCTGCACCCTAAGATCCAGCTCAAACTCTGCAGTATTATTCCTTGGGCCTACTGGGAACATTTCGGTATGTGGATGACTTACCTCATGTCACCCGCGGTCGTTCAGTGTGGGTGTCAGTTGTTGGTACGAAGTCACAACGACAGCCAACTCCGAAAACAGATGCTGTAAACTGCTGCGTGTTTGAATGCCCGCTTCTACTGATTTTCTTTCACAGCCTGTATTCTTGTTCATTTGTTAGTTCTACTATCCCATCAGCAAATGTAGTATGAAATCAGCAGTTGGAATGGTCCAAAGAAGTGCTTTATTCGTTATCTTTTGTATGATTTCCACTTCTAAAGGACGGAGGGCTTGGCGGCTTGCGTTACCCACTCTTGTCGGATTACAAGAAGTGTATATCTGCTGATTATGGCGTTCTGTACGAAGAAAAAGGCATTGCTCTTCGTGGGCTATTTATTATAAGCCCGGACGGAATCATACGCCAAATCACAATCAACGATACTCCTGTTGGACGCTCCGTGGAAGAAACTTTGCGCTTGGTCAAGGCTTTCCAGTTCACTGACAAGCATGGCGAAGGTAGGCGTTAGCATTTCTTCTTTGTCCCACTCTACCCTACCCATAATACACATTTACTTTTGTGTCGTTTTCGATTCCTCGCTATTTGTTTTCCTTTTTCGCGGTTACATCCCTGGGTCACTTGCAGCAACGGCTTGCTTTTCTCTATCTACGTATGCGACGCCTTTTATTTGTTCTTGTCCTTATTGTTGACCTTCATCCGTCAGGTGTTCTGTACGGATAACGTATGCCTGATAGCGCATAATCGTGTATTTTGCTGAACATTTTCAAGGCTGTCTACGAACACGGTCTGTAACCGCAGATTGTCGGTCGGTTTCCTAATCGGCCTTTTAGCATTGCAGTATTCATGTTCCGGAGTATCCTTTCTTATCGTCTCTTTAACCTTTGATGCCAGCTGTTGATATTTTTTAACTCAACGTTTGCTTTATATAATGAAATATTATATCGTTTGTGTCATACCTTAGTGGTGGAACAACTATCCTTTTCTTATCTAATCATTTTGACTTGATTTCGGATTTCGTAGCTTGATGACCGATGATCATGACGATAGCCGCCAACCACAATGTGCCGAGTTCCACCCCCAATTCAGGCTATCGCTAATCGATGAGTCACGACAATGGTGAAACACATGTTGAAATGCAGCGATAGGAGAGAGCAACACGTAAACCTTTCACTTTTTATTTGCCTGTACTATTCACTCTGCTTTGAAGATATTGTCCTTCGCAGTCTATTGAGGTTACGGATGCTTATGGTGAATTGGTTGGTTCGAAAGTTTCGCGCGAGTTCGACTAGTATATGGGTAAGTTTGTCCAAATCAGCTGACTTGTAAGAGCTAAAAATTTATTAAGTAATTCAAGACATCCACCACTCCAGGGGTATTTTACTTGACTTCAAGACCACAGTAAGAGTCGTTTACCCCTACAACATCGGAACTTGGTCCATTCGGTCTGCAAATGTCAGGTACCTTCAGATCACTGGTAGTCGTTACTCGCGGAGCATTGCTCTTGTTAGGTGGAACCAACATGCCCTCTGCAACTTGGCGTGCAAGTTACTAATAGTGATGATCATGATGTTGGCTCGTTGGGTCATATAAAGTTGACGAGTACCATGCGTTGTTTCGTGCCCGTGTCGCCAACTGTACGCTGTGACCACTCTTCGCTGCCCTGCGGCCACCACCAGTCACGCTTTCACTGTGTATATTACAAGGAAGCCCACCCCTATGCGGATTCAAACCGGTGACCTTATGGTTTTAAACCAGGCGCGCAGACCGCTGGGCCACCTGTCGACTCTTCGACGCATTGAATTATACTGGGTGAAGCCCCGGATCCCTTGAGAGCCACTCGTAACAAGTTGGTCAACGGTTAGAGATCAGACCAACTCGGTCTCCTGATCCTCTAGGTTGAAGGTTGGAAATAGGATAACGCCCATTTCTGTAAAACCGGATCGCTGCCATGTGGACAGGCTTTTTGACCCAAAGTCTTTGCTTGAGGATCCTACTCGTTCTCCGGTCTAGGCTTAAACACCTTAGCAGTATCCCAATCCACTTACAATCATGATTATTTCACCAAAATCCAACCCCCTTCTGCATTGGCCGTCGCGCCGCCTATCCAGCATCACCTTATCTGCTGCATACGGCAGAACAAATAGGCGGAAACATGCTACTGCTGGTGCCTCCTTTCTTTTCCAAATTTTTCTCTCATCCCCATCCTGACCCTAACTGCTGACCTGTGATTCTCGGCTCATTTGACAATACCGCTCCAATACCACTGGAGTTCTGCCGTCTGCAATTATGTTTCCTCATCATCCCCTAGGCTCCCTCGCACAACAGCTCTTTATAAGGCTACGCTCTTCCTTCCTCATGGCGGCGTTCAACATTCGTATTCTAAAACGAGCTGGTCAAATGCACGTTGAATACCCTAGGTTTTGAGTTGTGTGTGTCCGAAACTGGGATCAGTAACCTTCAGCAGCAAGAAACTTTCCCAACAGACTGGAACTGCTCCGTCATAGTCCCAATTTTTAAGGATGGCTTACGTTCAGAATGCGGTAATCATAGAGGAATCAGTCTGATCTCAATTGCCTCTAAGTTCTTTGCGTCCGACTAGCACTCGTGAAAGCCAAGTTCATGAGCAGCAAGCCGGGTTTCATCGAAATGGAGGCTGCATCAACTACATCTTTACTTTGCGTCACTTGTTGTAGCGCCGCCATTTTTCTTGACGGCTTACCGTAGTCCTGTTTCTCGATGTCAAAGGTGCGTTTGATTTGGTGGATCTTTGTGCTACTTGGAACTGTTTGCTTAGGAAACGTGTGCCCGATAAATATGTAAACATTATCAGACGGCTCTACTCGCATGATTGAGGCAGAGTGTGTGGTTTATAGAAAACTGTCCCTTCTATATCTTCACCTATGTCAGACAAGTTCATGGTCGTCACTCTTCCCGTTTAACTTTGCCGAACTTTGACGAGCTCATCGAAACGGCGTTCAGTGGGAAAGACATGTGCTATCCTGACGACACGCGTGATCAATTCTACGCTCAGCTATCCTCTGTGATGCGGTCTGTGCCGGTCTGGAGCGACCGACTATTTCTGCTGCGTGATTGCAACGCACGCGTTGGGCGTGATGCATCGGTGTGGCAGATGTTATCGGTTCTCATGGCAATTATTCAACGAATGCGAACGGTGACAGGCTGCTCTCACTGTGTGCCACTCACGGCTTGACGATCACAGCACTCGGTCTACACTGAGTGCGAGTGATATAGCAACTCAGGCACACTTACGGAGTGGTCACGCTCACCTGCTCGACTATGTCATCGAATGTCAGCGTGATATGCGTGAAGTGCGCATGACACGTGTACTGCGTGGAGCTGAGTGTGGTACTGATGACAAATTGGTGCGGACCAAACTGTACATATATTTTCGTAAATCTATGTATTGCACTCCCGCCGTGAATCGGCGTAAATTTAACATTCTCTCCCTCGGTACTGTGGCGAAACGTACTGAGCTGGAGAAGGCGATGGCTGCACGCCTGTGTGGTGATGTGGGCTGTATAGCCACAGTGGGCAACCTTTGGCACCACATTCGCGACCAGGTGACAGCTGCTGCCGAGGAGACCATCGGGCGCGAAAACTGTAAGCGACCTGGTTGGTTTAATGAGAACAATGCGACGATTAGCTCATTTGTGTCGGGGAAGAATGCAGCATTTGCTGCACATGTGGCAGATCTCAGTGACTTGGGGAAGAGTAGTCAGTTTCGCAAACTTCGACGGCGACTGACTCGAGAACTCCGACGCATAAAAATCGCGTGGTGGACGGAGAAGGCGAAGCAGGTGGAATGCTACGCCGAACGCCGCCAACACAAGTAATTTTTTGACTCATTGAAGGCGGTGTATGGACCGAGATTGGATATGCTGAGGAAGCTGATCGATGGTAGTTCAGGCGCTATCTGCACACAGACTGCAGACATAATGCAGATCTGGCGGAAACACTTTGACTGTCTCTTGAACAATCGTTCAGAGATCGACTGGTCTACAGTGAACTGCCTGAAGCAGCACGGTGTGAAGACGAGTCTGGCGGACACGTCGAGACTGGATGAGACGCAGAGAGCACTTGCTCAGCTGCGAAACGGCAAATGTGCAGGAGCCGACGGGATCCTGTCTGAAGTATTGAAACACAGCGGACCCGCGTTGGTGACTGCGCTGCACCACTTGGTGCAACGTGTATGGATTGAGGAGGAGGTGCCTGCAGAGCTGAAGGGTGCCCTTGTGCTACCACCGTGCAAGGGCAAATATAGCAAGCAATGTTGCACGAATTGTCGTGGCATCAACTTGCTGAGTTGTGTGGGCAAGGTGATTGCCCGAATCCTGCTCAATCGCCTCGTGAGTCAGATTGTGGAACCTAACGTGGCGGAAGAGCAATGTGGATTCCGTTCGGGTCGCAGCACTATAGATATGGTGTTTGCGGCTCGTCAGTGCAGAGAACGACACCAGTCATTGTACTCGCTTTTTGTTGATTTCACCAAGGCATTTGATACGGTGAACCGCGAGGCCTTGTGGCTGGTGTTGGGTAAGTTTGGTTGCCCGCGTAAGTTTGTAAGTTTAATTGGATGTCTGCACATTGGTATGCGAGCAAGTATGCAGCTGAGTGGAGAGACCTCGGATGATTTTGCAGTTGTCTCTGGTGTGGAGGAAGGCTGTGTCTTAGCTCCTTACCTGTTTAATATATATCTTCACGCAATATTGTCGTGTTCTTTTAAATCGGCTTGTGTTCATGGTGTTCGTGTGGAGCACCGTATTGATGGTGGGTTGCTGAACATCCGTCGTTTCGGTGCGAGAACTCTAGTCTATGAGACACTATCCATATGTTGCTGTTTGCTGACGACTGTGCGTTGTTTTCACACAGCGCGGATGAGTTGCAGCATATGACTAGCGCTCTGGCTTCGACAGCGGCCAAATTCGGGCTCACAATCAACACAAGCAAAACTGTTTGTCTCTTTCAGCCTTCACCGGAGGTGCAATCTTCAACATTGCCGCAAATCAGCATTGGTGCTGAAGTGTTGGAAACCACCTCCCGCTTCAGCTACCTTGGGTGTGTGATGTCGACTGATCAGCAGGTAGAATGTAAGCTTCGTATCCGCATGTCGAAGGCAGTGGCGGCATTCAGGAAGCTAGAGTAACGAGTGTGGAACAACCATCAGCTTACCTTTGGCACGAAGCTGATGGTGTACAAATCCATGGTGCTGTCCGTTCTTCTATACAGCAGTGAAACGTGGACGATGTAACGGCGGGATGTGCGATATCTCGAGCGGTCCCATCAGCAGTGTTTGCGACTAATTTTGCGCATCAGTTAGGGCGACAGAGATGCTGACACGGAAGTTTTGCGCGGAAGCGGAATGTATGCAGTGGACTGCATACTTTTACTGAGACACCTGAGATGGCTCGGTCATGTGAGCCGTATGGATTCGACGCGGATACTGAAACAACTCATACGGTCAGCTGAGTATTGGGAAGCGGATGGTGGGGAAACCGAAGTTACGTTACAAAGACATGAATTAAATGAGCCTCTCACGTTCTAATCTTGATTGCTGATCATGGGAATCGAAGGCGGTTGATCGGCGTGCATGGCGCGATCTGATCATGAAGGCAGTTGCAAAAGTGCTGGATAAAGACCTCATACATGAAGAGAAGAAGCGGCAAGTGCGGAAGCGGCTAGCACCGATGAATTGTACTCCATCGACATCCAGCGCATGGTGCTGTAGCACATGCGGTCGCGGGTGCCTGAGTCAGGCAGGCCTAGCGAGTCATGAGCGAGGCCACTCGGGACCACTACCGAAGCGACGACGGGTTCTGCAGAGATCGTAGGCAGAACCGGCGCGGCGTTTGTAGGCACGCTGCATTCGATTTACTAATTGCGTGCTTGCATGCTGAGTCTATTTATTTCAGGTAGTGGGTTTTCAATGTTGTCCTAGTGCCTTTCTTTCTTATAGAAGTGTCTACCTGTACTCTTTTCTATAAACTTGAACACATCGCTCAAGCAAATTGTAGTTAATTTCGATAACATTTTCGTGTTTGTGCCATTTCTGTAAGATATACTTTCTGACCTCGTGAACTTATCCCGGATTCTTTTGTAAACAACTTATTTCAAATGCTCATTAATTTAAGATTTATGTCACCGTTTCCTTATGCATTGCTCGATTTATTTTCTTTGTTATCTTTCTTTCAGGTGATTGGCTGTTGCTTGATATCCCCGGTGTGGCTGCGCTTGATGTGCATGTTGACAAGGTGCCTACCTGTCTATTACCCACTACCTCATCCATACTGGCTCTAAGAGACCGTTGGTCGTTGCTGGAGAGGACGGGGTGCACGGTCCTTGTGGCCGTGCTAGGATCAAGAGTGGTTCGCTGCACTCTGTGTGAAGCGGACTACGATCCAGCCACCGCCTTGTGTGCGGTTGATTCCCCAAATACAGCGTGCTTGAGTTTGCCTATGAAGGAGTGTGGACCGGCTTCGTTGATGAAACGTGGCTTCCGTCCACATGTCTCGCGGTCTTATTCCTTCTGGTTTACACTGGATATGGGGTGTGTGGTTGGAGCTGTGGGTGGTGCAGCGCAAGCCATCCATGGTCCCTTTGTAGGCGCAGGCGTCCTGTGGCTGGCCACAGTGACAGGCAAATCCGAAACTGGATGCCGCCATCCATATATATATATATATATATATATATATATATATATTCTACATGAATGCCGAAGTCGATATGCTCACAGTCTGCTGTTAATCGGGAGACTTTCCAGCAGTGCGACCTCGGCCTTGCCACTTAGTGCTGTAACCGGTGTAACCAGACAAACTCGCTGAAAATGCTTATGCGTCTCCAGAAGGACGTAGTTGGTATGTGGTTTCATGATTTGTAGTGGATGTCAGTGTAAGCACTGAGCTGAGGTCTTACAATCAGGTTTCTGATAGGCAACAGACGTCAACATCGAGAGATTCTAGGGTTCGCCCTCGACAGCCTTACTGTCTAATCTGCCTGACAGTCCTTACGTTGAAGCACGTCTGACGAAGCGAGGATCGGGGTCGAAGGAGAGCCATCGCTTGAACTCCATGGTTCGCAGTGCGACCAGAATCTCAGACAGATTCAGGAATCAGATATCGGATAGCAAGGATTATTAGCAACTGAACAATTGGATTGAATGTATGAAGCAGATGACAACCGTGTAGAATACTCCATGGTATTTTGTCAGAAGACGTGATACAACATAATTGCCCAAGCCGAAGTAAGGAGTTGACTTCGGGTCTAAATACCCCACCCGCAAGGCAACGGGGCGAATTCAAAGAATCGCACCCACTGGTAGCCGGTGACTGATGGCTCAATACATACACTTTTCCTTTGGTCGGTTACCAAACAGGGACCTAATCCTCTCCACAATTTTAGCACCATGGTTGTGGCGACTACGAAGCGTAGATTAAGCAATCGCACGAGACGGAACAAGGAAACTGTAGGCTACTGAACCTATACGCACGGTCTGGGCAGATAAAATTAAACTTAAATCTCTGTTACTGTGGTTCTGTAATTGAAATTAAATGCGGTAGTTAATTACTTATTAGTTAATTAGTTAGTTTTGAAATCGCAATAGGAAAAGACTTGCGGCGGCTTGGCGAAACGGTGTGGCATAGCAGTTTGCAGATTGACAAGGATGAAATGTTTGACTTTAAATATGCCAATAATGCGAGTGAAAACGTTAAGTGTTTCCTAATGCGTGTTAGAAGCAAACATGTATGCATTTCTGTAAGGTTATAACTGAAGGATATGGAAATAGGAATATCATGTCCTCAAATAGGTAAACCACTTTGGCTGAATAATCAGTTCTCTTTGAACTTTACGATGGTGCTTAAATACCATGCTCCGCCTGAGTAAAGCAAGGGGCATTGGTTTTTATTGGTAGCGAATCACATCCGCCACGTTGCATTGTTGTTAAACGGATATATTTAGCTTTTATAGAGAGCGCTTGTTGGGTGAAATCCCACCACGTTCTGCAACAGTGCCGCTAGGACGGGATAATCCTGAATCACCCGGTGACACGACAAAGAGGTTGTTCGGCACGTTAGCCTTTACGCAACTGACCCAATTCATTATCCTAATCTTTGAGAAAGCTTTGGTGCAATTCAGCAGCGATCTGGGTGGAGCTATTGTCAGTGACCCGAAACTGCCTAATATTTTTATCCGACTTGTTCATACCTGTTTGCCTTGAAAGGACGGCCGTCACTGTGGTTCCGTGCACCTTACCCTTAAAACTATGTGGAATGCCCTTTTGGGCCAACATCCTTGTGGATTCACGAAGATGCCTTCAGTAATCATAGACCAGTCAATGTTAATGCAGCTACCAAGTTCGGTGCACTCATCAACCAACCCCAATGCATTACCACCAAGAATCCGTGGAGTAAAAAACAACTGGTGTCCTTGCGACAACACTGATCTTTTTAAGCGCATGTTGAGCGATGATATCGTCCCGGAGAGTACGCCTAGCATTGGATCCACCGCATCGTTTTCGTTGAAGAAGAACCGTTGTCGTCCGAATCAAACATTTCTCCATCTTGGTACGACTCGATCAAAGTTCCCCATTTTAGTTTTGTCCAAAAGACACATGTGCAAATACTGGTAGTAATTGCGTTTTTACTTGCTAATTTTCGGTGTACACGTGGTTTTCGAATGAGGCACATTTCCTGGTTTTGTCTTTCGGGTACTGGACTACTAAGTATCCCAATTTCGGGTCCATTAACGGACGATTCGCATAGTCAGTTTGGAGTACAGCTCATCTACTGTAGAACACGTTTACCAGGTGTAACACTGGATTAGTCTCATAAAAATTTGCCCCTGTTTGGAGTAGCCCTGTGACCAAAGCCTAAATTACTTTTCTACACAGCTTTGAAAGGACCAAATTCAGTGACGGTATGGTCAGTATGACCGATCAGTGAATGCCCATCCATCTTGCTCAGTTGCACACGTTCGTTTGACTTCGCTCTGCTGTGGAAGTCAATCTTGTCTCCGCCTGAACTTCGGTCTACGTCATGCTTGCGATCTTGCATCTTACTTCCACCCGCATCGCCTTCCTACAATATGCAGTCTACTTTGAGGCGTCATTAGCTCAGTCGAAGTAATTGCTTTCATTTTCCACTCCTGTGCTTATCGGTTCTACCCCTTTGCTACCAATTTTTCACGTAGCCCCCAGAATGATTTTTCAGAACAGCAGACAAATTAGCCGATGAATGGCAAATCTTTCAACGCTTATGTTTTTCGCACCCATGTGTTATGCTTGCTCAGTTAACTTCAACAAGTTCTCATTTCTCATCGACTTTCCCCCTGTAGTTTGTCCGGCAAGCTGGCAACCTGGCGGGGACACAATCAAACCCGACACTGAAGCGGCGAAGGAATACTTCAAGAAATCGCAGGGATGAGTCTCAATTGACTGCTTCTTCATTCTCCTGTGACTTCACATCTTTTTCTTCTAATTGGACACCACTTGTACTCCACTTAGTGCTGGCTTTTTGAGATGACTGTTTTTGTGGACTGACGGAAGTATTGATGGAAAACTGATGCAGATAATTACATAAATTCTGAATTTTGTTTACCTGTTGGCTAAAATTTTAAGTCATCTAACAGCACTGGACGGATGATTACGAGGGACTCCCGTATTTTTTGTAGAAGCCTTGATTACATTCTTTCTAACATAGACATCTGTCCGGGTACACTGTTCTAGCCTTCACTTCACAGTTAACTCGCCTGTTCATGTTTCGCTCACTTCTATGGCGGGAATGTTTGTTTACCTTGGCGTTACTACTTGGCCCAGTGTAGCAAACTTCTCTTACGGTGTCTATGGGGTTTTCAACTGTCTCGATAGCCTACCCCAAGCGGTATTTCTTGTGGATTGATCCGATGTCCATGAAATCTTGAACTCGAAACTATTCCGCCTTCACTTGTAAAATGAACTAAGCAATTTCGCACCAAGCCTCCTAATCAGTAACTTGGTGCATAGCCAACTACTAACTCACAGCTCGCTCCACACAATTTTGCAACGATGCAGTTTGAATGGGTGCCATTTTCGTTGTTTCTATACTACTGCATCTTTCTTGAATCAGTGTGCGTGTGATGAATTTGGCCACTCTAAGAGTTGCTGCAGTCTGTTAGATCCGTGGATAGATTTCCAAAATTAGTCTTCTGATCGCAGAGGTTACGTATTGGATGTGTATCGGTATAATAGTCCGTGTGTTGTTGACGCTACCAGCATTCAGGTCGCAGACTAGCCATTTCCCGAACCAGAAGCTAAAGACCTCAAAATAGCCTTCAACTGCGCCCATACAATATGGCATTGTTGACAGCCGGAATAGTTATGACTATGCAATTCAAGAGAAATGGTTTAGAGGTGGGTTCCATGCTACCAGAACCTACCAGATACCGGTAAACACTCTCGAGACTGGCCACGAGCCAAAATTGTTGTAATTGGTTGATTCCAACGGAGATTCGTCCTCATTCCTTAACTGCTGGCCAATGAGCTTCCAGTTGTATTGGTCAGAGCTTCTACTGAGGTTACCGGCAAGGGAACGGCTTCAACGTCTTTTATAGACGGGCTTCTTCGCGAAGATTTATCTTGCATCGAGCTGCATTCTACTAACGACTTTCCAATTCTGATCCGTCGGTATCGTTGTTTTTCAGCTCTTCTGAACGACTGTAAGAGATGTGTCTGAAGTGTTATGAGCTTTCGGTTGCATATCAGTTTGTCCAAAAGCATACCCGACGGTATCGATCGGCCGCTGGTGCTTGCCGAGATTCCTTTTTTCTGCAGCTGGTTGGCGTGTCTGATTCAAATGCGATTACTTGCCTTGACTTTATGCAGACTCGTTTGAGCTTGCTGTGGATTAGTTCACTCCATGGCGGTCTTCCCGTGCAGTGGTCCCTGATCAAAACATTTCTCCTGAGTAGAGTCGACATGCCTCTGTCCTATTTCGTTGCTTGCAGTGCTTCTCCATTCTCAGTTTCCTTTCTTGCGGGGTGTCATACTTCGGAGACAATCGCTCCTTCACGGTGCAAAGTTGTCGTTGGTTAGGTACTTTGAGATTCGGTGTCGTTCTGTGCATTACTAGGAACGCATCCTGCGTTATTCCCCTTTACCATCATTTTCAGCACGTCTGTTTGAAATTATCGACAAATCGTTTTGCTCGTCCATTGGATTGAGTATGGAACGTTGGCGAGTGAATATGTACGACGCCATTTTGATTGGATTACTCGGAAAAATAGGGAAATATAACTTACCTGTCGCCTTTGACTAGCGTCTGGTTCCTCATTTGTACTAAGAAGCATCATAGGTACGTTGATCGTTACGTCGCTACTCGCATTCTCCATGCAAAACACGCCAAGGCATTAACTGAAGACCTCAACAATGCCAAGATGTCGTTGCCCACTCACCAGCCCTTGGCCGAAAGGACACGGCGTCTGTCTTGCATCCGAAGATCGTGGGTTCGCACCTGCGTAGGGGACCGTATGACCCTCGCAGTATCCTTAGCTCACCCTCCACTGGTGATGATTGTATGGCAGCGTAGCGTCGGTGCTGCACACCGGCGTTTTGCTACTGTCTTTCATTTTCTTTCCTGCCCATTCACTGGGTCAAAAAGTCGTTATTTACACGCCCCAAGGCTTCGTTGCCTTACTGGCAAGTACGCACTTTCGATTTGACTTCGTCATCTCTTCCAGCTCTGAGTCGATCCTTGTTTATTAAATGATATTCCATTCATTCATTTTGATCCCATTAACACCGATCTTTCCGCCAACAGTAAGCATCTATTAACGTTTGATAGTTCATATTTCCTTTTGAACAACTTGTGTACCTCACCTGTCGGTTTATCTTCGGCTGCTATGTAGTGCAGCACCTAATAAATCGACAAAGGATTAGGCATTGTATAAGGATATCATGCAGCATTTCGCAAGTGACCGGGAGACAACTGAGAATTACCATCAATACTTGATTCACTTCTAATTCCAAGGAGGTCGCTAAGATTATGGTGCTTCCAATTTTTCAATCACCGAGTAAATGCATCGGATTGTCCGTCTTCCTAAGAGGATGCCCTGTCAGAAGCCTTATTACGATCGGGGATCGGAATCGCTATCACCTCCGGATTGGCGAAGATGTATGGGTGCAAGTGGCTCCTGGAGTCGATAATCATGTAGAAGAGTAGTTGTGAATACTCGGGTGGGAGTAAGGAGTTGTGATATCAGGGTAGGGAATAATACCGGCAGAACCGGATTCATGTGAGCCGCTGCCAATAATCCGTGTTAGTCGAGGATTCGTGCCATGTTTTGTTTTTTGATGCTACTCAGCCGCCTTTTGTCACATACCACTGGATCAATACCTATACGTCTCACTTCTACAAACGCTACCTCGTGATACCGTTTTCTCTAGAACATTACCAGTCCATCCTACATCTACCCAGCATTGTAAATTCCGAGCAGTGTTTCACTGCAAACTGTTGCGTAGAGCCAACCGTCGAAGGTATTTTTAGTCTCAGTCGATAGCACATTTCAACGGCGTTCGAACAATCTTTAACTCGTCCAAGTCCAACGTAGTGTGGGGCAGCTACTGGTTTCTCGACAAGTTCACCCTGGAGCGATTCATAGGTCCGGCCACGAAACTCCTCTATCATGCCCTTATGTGATCTGCCTCACTAGCACACTGATGCATTTGACTGGCACGCCAGTTAAACGTCTATAGAAAGGACAGTCACAGAAGAGCGGAGTGAACCCCGGGACCGTGCTCTCAACACGAGAACAACTGCTGGTCATCAAGGTCGGTTCGATCAATCAACCTACCCACCGCGATAACTGTCAACTCTAGCCGCCCTACCCGCCATCGTGTGGCCCACGGACTCAACACACAAAGCACGATAAGCGGGTCATCTGACCTTGACCTGACGATCGGCGACAAAGCGCTGGTCGACTTATCTGCGCTGCTAACCCGCAAAACAAGTGATGGCCATTCGGCCACCATGGCCACAACACCCGTATCTCGAAACGAAGTCTTTTGTGCCAATCAGACATGTGCTACGGTAGTAAAAGTAGTGCCTGCATTTGCCTACTGTACCAGCTGTTACCAACCGAACTTCGTTAGTCGGTCGTGCCGAATTGAAGAAATATAATAGTACGCCGCGCTCACGTTGGCTCTTTCCTATGTGTGCCACGGTTTCACTTTGGTATTGGTAATCCTCTCTTAGAGTGTGTCATAAGCTTTTTCTTACACCACCACTTGGAAGTGAGATTAGGGAAAATCCTTATCGAATCCCACCAGGGTTGAATGCGGAGTACTACAGGGATCGGTAGTGGGATCGCCGTTATTTTTTGCCATATATTAATAACATTACACGCCTCATAAGGTCGGACTGCCTGATCTTTGCCGACGAAATGAAGGTGTGGAGGGTGATTCCTACTTCAGAGGATATCACAATACTTCAAACCAAACGGATAGGGTATACGCGTGGTCAATCAGGGATCTACTTCGACTCAATGTCAAGTGCTGCACTTACGGCACAAGTTGGTGTACACCTACCAACTCGGCAACCAGGAACTTCAAATGTCTTGTGGCCAGAGGGATCTGGGTGTTTCAGTCCGGGCCGACCTTAGATGTCCGAATCAGTCTGAAGCGGCGTCAAGAAGTGGCATCCAACAAGTGGGTCTCCTGAGGCTTGTATTTGGACGCTTTGAGCAGTTTATTTCTTAACAGCTATCGACTGATACATGCGTCCACATATGGAGTACGCAGTACCACTTTAGCAGTCATTCCTGAGAAGAGCTCACACCGTCGTCAGATAGATCATACACGTTAGCTAGAGGTGGGGAACACCTCAGCTACTGTGCCGCAATACACCATCGTAGAGATAACCCAATGCCAGGCAACCAAGGTTGTCAATGTTTTGTATCATTTGCCATATGGACAAAGGATTCGAGTGATCGTGGTCTTTAGTGAACAATATCGATGATCGCATGGTAATCTTATTTTGACCTACTAGACTCATATATCCCAACCACCATTTATTGAAGCACAGCCAGGGCAGTAATCTGAGAGGCCAGCGTCCCAAGCTGGTAGAGCAGCACACTCATTTGGAATGCCCTCGGAATTTCATTTCCGTACCCATTTGCGAAGCGTGAAATGCCTTCCCGGAATCTGTCATCTGTGCTCCCACGCTGGTAGAGTTCTAAACTCGAGTTGACCGTATACTCATTTCGCCGCACCATATCACATGACTCGTTGCTCTTCGCCAAGCACGAGTGTCCCGTAGAGATTTCACAGATGGTCAGCTCCCAAAATACATTTTACATTTTTCACCCCCTCCATGTGTTTACCATGAGGCGAAATGAGTTCCAGCACCGTCCCATTCATCGTCATTGCTTATGGACTTGCGGTTGATTTACAGTTTATGTAAATCGCGGTAAGTCAACCGATGTTCACATACCTTTGCGGACGCACTTTCCACTTTTTTTCTATACTCACCATGACCATCCTAGAGGACCTGTTAAGCTCTTGTGATTTTACCCGTATTAAACCATTGCTACATAATTCGACGTCATGCATACTATAAGACATGCAGCGCAGCATAAGCGCCGGCGATGAAGACCGCGAGAGGGCACGTTGCAGCAATGTGCGGATTTACTCCGCTGGCCAATGCCCAAAACTGGAAAAAGAAGGGTATGGTAAGAGGTCAGTAATTAGACGAACCAGTCGAGGTACAGTTCAAGGCCGGATGACTAACTTAGAGTGACCGCCCATACGCACTGGT